AATAGTGGGAGACGTTAACACCCCACTGTCAATATTAGAGAGATCAACAAGAAAGAAAATTAACAAGGATATTCAGGACTTGAACTCAGCTCTGGACCAAGTGGACCCAATAGACATCTACAGAACTCTGCACCTCAAATTAACAGAATATACATTCTTCTCACTGCCACATCGTACTTATTCTAAAATTGACCACATAATTGGAAGTAAAGCAATCCTCAGCAAATGCAAAGAACGAAAATCATAACAGTCTCTCAGACCACAGTGTAATCAAATTAAAACTCAGGATTAAGAAACTTACTCAAAAGTGCACAACTACATGGAAACTGAACAACCTGCTCCTGAATGACTACTGGGGTAAATAACAAAACTAAGGCAGAAATAAATAAGTTATTTAAATCCAATGAGAACAAAGACACAATGTATCAGAATCTCTGGGACACAGCTAAAGCAGTGTTTAGAAGGAAATTTATAGCACTAAATGCCCACAACCAGAAAGCTGGAAAGACATCAAATGGACACCCTAACATCACAATTAAAAGATGTAGAAAAGCTGGAGCAAAAAAATTCAAAAGCTAGCAGAAGACAAGAAATAACTAAGATCAGAGCAGAACTGAAGGAGACAGAGACACAAAAAACCCTTCAAAAAATCAATGAATCCAGGAGCTGGTTCTTTGAAAAGATTAATAGAATAGATAGACCACTAGTCAGACTAACAAAAAATAAAAAAAAGAGAGAGAGAAAAATCAGACACAATAAAAAACGATAAAGGGGAGATCACCACTGATCCCACAGAAACACAAACTACCATCAGAGAATACCATAAACACCTCTACGCAAATAAACTAGAAAATCTAGAAGAAATGGATAAATTCCTGGACACACAGACTTCCCAAGGCTAACTCAGGAAGAAGTTGAATCCCTGAATAGACCAATAACAGGCTCTGAAATTGAGGCAATAATTAATAGCTTACCAACCAAAAAAAGCCTGGGACCAAATTCACAACCTAATTCTACCAGAGTTACAAAGAGGAGCTGGTACCATTCCTTCTGAAACTATTTCAATCAATAGAAAAAGAAGGACTCCTCCCTAATTCATTTTATGAGGCCAGCATCATCCTGATACCAAATCCTGGCAGAGACACAACAAAAAAAGAAAATTTCAGGCCACTAAACCTGATGAACATCAACTCAAAAATCCTCAATAAAATACTGGCAAGCCAAATTCAGCAGCACATCAAAGAGCTTATCTACCACAATCAAGTGGGCTTTATCTCTGGGATGCAAAGCTGGTTCAACAGATGCAAATCAATAAACATAATCCATCACATAAACAGAACCAATGACAAAAACCACATGATTTTCTCAATAGAGGCAGAAAAGGCCTTCAATAAAATTCAACAACACTCCATGCTAAACACTCTCAATATACTAGGTATTGATGGAACATATCTCAAAATAATAAGAGCTAATTATGACAGACCCATAGCCAATATCATACAGAATGGGTAAAAGCTGGAAGCATTCCCTTTGAAAACCGGCACAAGACAAGGATTCCCTCTCTCACCACTCCTATTCAACGTAGTATTGGAAGTTCTGGCCAGGGCAATCAGGTAAGAGAAAGAAAGAAAGGATATTCAAATAGGAAGATAGGAAGTCAAATTGTCTGTTTGCAGATGACATGATTGTATATTTATAAAACCCCATTGTCTCAGCCCCAAAACTCCTTAAGCTGATAAGCAACTTCAGCAAAATCTCAGGATACAAAATCAATGTGCAAAAATCACAAGCGCTCCCATACACCAATAACAGAGAGCCAAATCATGAGTGAACTCCCATTCACAACTGATACAAAGAGAATGAAATACCTAAGAATTCAACTTACAAGGGATGTGAAGGACCTCTTCAAGGAGAACTACAAACCACTGGTCAAGTAAATAAGAGAGGATACAAACAAATGCAAAAACAGTCCATGCTCATGGATAGGAAGAATCAATATTGTGAAAATGGCCATACTGCCCAAAGTAATTTATAGATTCAATGCTATCCCCATCAAGCTACCACTGACTTTCTTCAAAGAATTAGATAAAGCTATTTTAAATTTCATATGGAACCAAAAAAGAGCCCGCATAGCCAAGACAATCCTAAGCAAAAAGAACAAAGCTGGAGAGGCATCACACTACCTGACTTCAAACTATACTACAAGGCTACAGTAACCAAAACAGCATGGTACTGGTACCAAAACAGATATGTAGACTAATGGAACAGAACAGAGGCCTCAGAAATAATGCCCCACATCTGCAACCATCTGATTTTTGACAAACCTGACAAAAACAAGAAATGATTCCCTATTTAATAAATGGTATTGGGAAAACTGGCTAGCCATATACAGAAAACTGAAACTGGGCCCCTGCCTGACACCTTACACAAAAATTAAATCAAGATGGATTAAAGACTTAAACATAAGACCTAATACCATAAAAACCCTAACCTAGGCAATACCCTTAAGGACATAGGCCTGGGCAAACACTTCATGACTAAAACACCAAAAGCAACGACAACAAAAGCCAAAATTGACAAATGAGATCTAATTAAACTAAAGCGCTTCTGCACAGCAAAAGACACTATCATCAGAGTGAACAGGCAACCTACAGAATGGGAGAAAATGTTTACAATCTATCCATCTGACAAAGGGCTAATATCCAGAATCTACAAGGAACTTAAACAAATTTACAACAATAACAACAAAAAACCATCAAAAAGTGGGCAAAGGATATGAACAGACATTTCTCAAAAGAAGACATTTATGTGGCCAACAACCATATGAAAAAGAGCTCATCAACGGTCATTAGAGAAATGCAAATCAAAACTATAATGAGATACCATCAAAGGAGACAAAGAAGGGCATTACATAATGTTAAAGGGATCAATGCAACAAGAAGAGCTAACTATCCTAAATATATATGCACCCAATACAGGAGCACCCAAATTCATAAAGCAAGATCTCATCTCACGCCAGCTAGATTTGCGATCATTAAAAAGTCATGAAACAATAGATGCTGGAGAGGATATGGAGAAATAGGAACACTTTTACATTGTTGATGGGAGTGTAAATTAGTTCAACCATTGTGGAAGACAGTGTGGCAATTCCTCAAGGATCTAGAACCAGAAACACCATTTGACCCAGTAATCCCATTACTGGGTATACACCCAAAGGATTATAAATCATTCTACTATAAAGACACATGCACACGTATGTTTATTACAGCACTATTCACAATAGCAAAGATTTGGAACCAACCCAAATGTCCATCAATGATAGATTGGATAAAGAAAATGTGGCACATATACACCATGGAATACTATGCAGCCATAAAAAAGGATGAGTTCATATCCTTTGCAGCAACATGGATGAAGCTGGAAACCATCATTCTCAGCAAACTAACACAGGAACAGAAAACCGAACACCGCATGTTCTCGCTCATAAGTGAGAGTTGAACAATGAGAACATATGGACACACGGAGGGAAACATCACACATTGGGGCCTATTGGGGGTTAGGGGGCTAGGGGAAGGATAGCATTAGGAGAAATAACTAATGTAGATGGCTGGTTGATGGGTGCAGCAAACCACCGTGGCACGTGTATACCTATGCAACAAACCTGCACATTCTGCACATGTATCCCAGAACTTAAAGTACAATAATAAAGAAAATATGGTTGTACATACACACAAATGCAATGGAATATTTAAAAAAATAATAAAAAAGAAGAAGAAATGTGCCAAGTCCAGATCCTGATTCTCCTCCCACGGAATGTATTATAAAGAAACACTGCAAGCAATCACAGTGCTCTGCCAACTTTCTGAGTTTCTCTAAAACCTGGTCTTGAAAAAGACTGCCAAAAACTTTGTGATCCACAGCCCAATTATTTCCTGAGCCAGAAATATCAGTGATGAGTTGTTTGGTATCAAATACATCTCTCACTGGTCCCTGAAGAATTTCACTCACTATCCCTTCTTCCATGCCAATCAAGATGGCTGGTATCCACAGTTCTAAAGAAGCTGCTTATTGCCTCATAATAAATTCCTTTCTGGCTGACCGCAGCATGCTCCCTTAGCACCAGGTCCCAGAAGCAGCAGCTGATCTGGTTTTCGCATTGGCCAACCAATATGACCACCAACTGGGTTATGCTGGTGCACAGCCAGCTGGGGGCGCTTGTGAGCCACACCGGCCTCTGCATTCTGCCTGCAACCCAAAAGGCCTGTATTGTTCATTGTTGTTGTTGCTGTTGTTGTTTGAGACTGAGTCTTGCTCTGTCACCCAGGGTGGAGTGCAGTGGCACGATCTCAGCTCACTGCAACCTCCGCCTCCCGGGTTCAAGCAATTCTCCTGTCTCAGCCTCCCCAGTAGCTGAGATTACAGGCGCCCATCACCATGCCTGGCTAGTTTTTGTATTTTTAGTAGAGATGGAGTTTCTCCATGTTGGCCAGGCTGGTCTCGAACTCCTCACCTCAGGTGATCCACCTGCCTCAGCCTCCCAAAGTGCTGGGATTATAGGCGTCAGCCACCGCGCCCAGCCAAAAAAAGGCCTGTTTTTTTTATGAGTACTGCTGCATATCCACTGTTGAGAACCAATTCCTCAAACCACCTCTATTTTATTTGTAAGTGAATAAAGGTTTGTTTCTCTTTTGCATATATTTCTTATGGTTGGCGTATATGACGTAAAAGGACAATTCCCCAAGTGCCCATGGAGCAAGAACCATGTCTAATTCTCTGTTCTTTGTAATACTCTGTACTGTTGCAGATATTTTCAATAACAATGCAAATATTCCACCACTTAATTACCCCATCAATAAAACAGACAGACACAAAAAAACTTGATTATTCAGGGTTTTATGCCACAAAAAGAAGGCTGTCTATTTTGCCACAAATAAATGCAGAAAAGAAACAGCATTACTTAAACAAACTCAGGCTCCTGTTAGATGGAAAGGCTTGCTTACCAGGTTCATTTCCTGAGTCAATTCAGAAAGGATTATTACTCCTATTACGCAGTGTTCCACAGTACCCTTTGGAGAAAATAGCAAAGTTTAGTCTAAGTGGAGACAAATGATTAGTTCTTAATGTGTGCACCAAGTAATATTTACAAATAATTAAAGACTAAAACACCACATTTACTTAATCACAAAATTGAAATAAAATTTTAACATATAAAGAAAAATCACTATGATTTCTATAAACAAAATAATTTCAAACCTATTTTTTGAAGGATAAATTTAGGTACACAGAGCTAAATGGGAAAAAGCTCCTACCTTATAAATGCAAGATACTCACCAAATGGTTCCAGCACTTAGGACCAACAATAAACTAAGTTTCAAAATACAAGAATTTAGCTTAATACTTTTTACAAGACCAAGATTAAAAATAAGCAATAAATGCTTTTAGCTGTATAATTTGCTTAAAGCCTACTGAGATAGAGGCACTCAATAAATAAATAATAAATAGCTCAATAACTAATTCAAATCTCTTGTTCTAACATCAGATAGGATCACTTAGGCTCTTTTAACATTAATTGTGCATGTGTATGCAATTGTTACATACCTATAATGATGGCATGTAAAGTACACAATGCAATGGGATAAATACATGACTACACAATGTTTTTAATTTAATCAGCTTCCAATTTAACATCACATTTTCCACCATTAAAATTCAGACTTTATATGCACATTACTAACAAACTACCCTTGTGTGAAATCATACTGGAATTATGAAAATCATAAATGTGGCATCCAATTACATTGCAATCATTTTTAAAAACTGACACAGATGATAGATACACTTTTCAAATCTTAATTTTATAGTTGGTCATCCCTTTTAACTATCACAGAATTCCATTATCACTGGATGTAATTAAATTCAAATTACCTCAGAACAAAAAAAAGTCCCACAATTTTTGCATTTTAATTATTTATGGCCTTTCAGGACAGTCTGAGTGTCTGAACTGAGCTCCAGATTTCCTACACATTGAAACATCCATCCTATGTGTATACCAGGTTCGTGTTCCCCAAAGTGTGGTAACCTGACCAATTGCTAAAACCAGCTGACTGATGATCTACAAACTCAATTCTAATCTGAAAATAGTTACTGGTCTGTGACACAATAAAGAGCATGTAACAGACTATTAAACAGCTAAGTCACAAAGTACACTGTTTAGGTTAGCTGGCTTTTTTTTTCATAGCAAGTCTTTCTCAATGAAGAAGGCACTATGTTCATTCACAGTCTTACATAAGCTCCTTATCTTGCTGAAGACCAGTAATTTGAATAGCACTGCCCTAGATGACAGTAGGATCTCCTGAGTATATAAGTAGAAAGGAGACACATAAGTATGTTTGGAGTGTGGCAGCAAGAGGGCTGTAATAATAGAAAAAAGAGAACGCACAAAAGTTCAGGCTGTTAAAAATGTGACAAACTTAAAATAATTTTTAGGACAAAATTCAAAAAAACTACTAATACCCAAAGGAACCATACAGTAATATTCTAGAATACTAAAACACTAAAGCCAAAATTGACTTTCTCATGATGCAGGGTCAGGGTTAGATCAAGAAAGATATATATATATCTATCTCTGGAGCGATATATATATATATATCTAGAAAACAAGTACTAACTATTCTGTGGTGATACTATTATATAATAAACTTTCAAGCTAAAACATCTTGCTTCTTTTGGTCTTCCAGAACTGGCAAAAGTACATTGAATCCCAACTTAAGCTGAGCTTACTGGCCACTAAAGAGGGAGCTTGAGATATGTTAGCCAACAAGAATTTCATTCAGTTTCAATCTTGATTTTATTTTAAAAGAACTGCCTGGTCGCTTCTTGTCTACTCAAGTAAGTTTTGATGAACAATCTTAGTAAAAGACAAAAGGAGGATGCTACTGTGCTTGCCAAAATTAGAAATGCAACTCTGAAGTGTGAAGTTCATACTTGTCCTGAATAAACTACCCTTCTGCCCTAGTATAAACTGACCTCCTCAGAGCTAGGAACACTTATTCCTGTAAAGTTCTAAACGATCAAATATTTGTTAACCAGGTTTTAACAACATGGATAAGACAGAAGCAGCATAACCTAGCATTTCATATTCTGAGGTTTCCAGCATTGCACTATATGATGAATTTATTTCTTACACAGGGGTTGAATTTTAAAGTTACTGCATAAAAGTAAAATCTCTGAAAGTCAAAATTGCCCATACTCAACCATGAACCAAAACTGAACCATCTCTCTATTAATCAAAACTGTCAATTTTTCCTCAAGAATACTAACAGATCATGTTGCTTGTTTTTTGTTTTTTTTTTTTTTTTGAGACGGAATCTCGCTTTGTCGCCCAGGTTAGAGTGCAGTGGTGCAATCTCCGCTCACTGCAAGCTCCACCTACCGGGTTCACGCTGTTCTCCTGCCTCAGCCTCCCAAGTAGCTGGGACTACAGGCACCTGCCACCACGCCCAGCTAATTTTTTGTGTTTTTAGTAGAGACAGGATTTCACCATGTTAGCCAGGATGGTCTCGATCTCCTGACCTCGTGATCCATCCGCCTCGGCCTCCCAAAGTGCTGGGATTATAGATGTGAGCCACCATGCCCAGCCCAGGTCATTTCTTTAGCTGGACATCAGATAAAATAGTTTTCTTCTACTTGGGAATTACGTTTGTATGAAAAAATATATACATATATCTTCAAATATCTGAATCATACTGAGCAAGGCATGACACTTACCCTAAGTAAGAGTAAACAGGAAACAAGAGCAGATTCAGGTTTCCCTAAATCATCTCAGGACATGGAATCACTGGCATAATTTAGTTTAATGCTTTCCTACCTTTATTTCTTTTTTCTTTTTTTTTTTTTGGCAGTCCGGAATATATCTGAATTTATGCAAGTTAAATGTGCATATGCTATGACTTTATTTTAATCACTTAGGTTAAAAATACTGTTTTTAAAATAACCATTCTTTATTGATATATAATAGCTGTACCTATTTGATACCTATACACAACATGTAATGATCAAATTGAAAACATTCTTGAGAAACTAATATAGTCAATGTGGTATAGGGTAAAAATTTTAAAATGTATCATAAGTTGGAGGCTTGTTAAAAGTGCTAGCTGTATGCTTTAATCAGTCACCACCATGCAATCTTACAGAAATTTAACCCCTCTTAGCCTGTTTTCTTATTTACAAAATAAAATCCATTTCATTTTAGGTTGTGACGAACATTTAATTACATAATCTATGAAAAGCATTATGTACATATTTTATATATATACAGTACATAGACATACATGTCATAAATGAACATACATTTTGGAATTAGAAAACATGATTATTTACATTCTTCTGGTTTGGAAATTGTGTAACAGCAGGACCCTCATTTACTGACAATAAATGATAAAGGATCCAGAGGATAAATAATAAATCTTAATTAACATGGTACTAGTAGTCACAAAACAAACCATATGGCTTTAAGCAGAGCAGTATTCTAAACCAAAAAAGCAAGTAGTGATGTTCTAACAATGTAGCAACGACTTCTTACCTGGAGAAACTTCTTCACATCAGCAATAATTTCTCTGAAGACAAATTGCTCTTTCTGAACCTCAAACCACCCCAACTTAGTGATTTTAGCAATGACTTGAATAAGAGCTTGGATGACAAAGGGGGCCAGCTTGGGTTGTGATGCCACATAATTCAGAATGTAGTTTCCTACAAAGAAAACACTCCATGATCATTTGGACTTTTCAGAAACAACATAATGTGAATCATATGAAGAAAGAGAGGTGGGGATGGGGGGAACGGGAGGGAGAACATTAAGACAAATACCTAATACATGCAGGACTTAAAACCTAGATGACAGGTTGATAGGTACAGCAAAACACCATGGCACATACATACCTATGTAACAAACCTCCATGTTCAGCAACTGTATCCCAGAACTTAAAGTAAAAAAACAAAAACAAAACAAACAAAAAAAAAAAGAATTTTGTCAACTTTAAACAAAAAAGTTGCAGTATTTGTGGGAAAAAAAAAAAACAGAAAAAGAGGTGGCAATGACATGCTGTGACAAAAAGTTAATAGCTCTACTCAAGATACATATTTATTTATATAGTTATTTTATTAGGCTTGTCTTGGAAAAGCAAATTTGTTCCAATGCATTTGATATATTAGGGAAAAACCTGAATAGAACACTTTTGTTATATACGTCACTTTTGTTTCTGCATGATTTTATCTACCAAAAAATGCTAGCTGAATGCAGAAAACTGAAACCAGGCTGATATGGTTTGGATTTGTGTCCCTGCCCAAGTCTCATGTCCCCAGTGTTGGAGGAGGGACCTGTTGTTGGGAGATGACTGGATTATGGGGGCAGATTACCATCTTGATGTTCTCATGACAGTAATTTTCACTAGATCTTCTTGTTTAAAGTGTGTAGCACTTCCCCCTTCTCTCTTCCTCCTGCTCCAGCCATGTAAAACATGCCAGCTTCCCCTTCACCTACTGCCATGATTGGAAGTTTCCTGAGGCCTCCCCAGCCAGGCTACCTGTACAGCTTGCAGAACCATGAGCCAATTAAACTTCTTTTCTTTATAAATCACCCAGTCTCAGATATTTCTTTATAGCATTGTGAGAATCGACTAATATAGAGGCCAAATCGAACTAAGCTACCAACAAAATGCATACACCTCAAACATCTACTATGTATCATCAACCCCACCCATCCTTATCTGGTACTATATTTTTCCATACTATTTCAGATCCTCTTTCTTTCACCACTTTACAATAACTCAACAAGCTGCAACCCTTCTGAGGCCCACTTCTATGAACAAACTTCAGGTCTTTCCCAAGATAGAGTGTCATATTTATTGTACTATGTTTTTCTTAACCATTTAACATGTGTAAAACTCTACTAACCTTTGATTTGATTTCTACCTTTTTTAAAATATGTCACTGACAAGACTTTTAAATTTTATTTTCATAATCTAATTTCTCTCATAAGCCCTGTGCTTTTTATTATGCAGCACTGCATAGCACAGTCACTTTTAGGAACATGTCATATTACAGCAAAAGTGACTATACACTGTCTTCTTGAGGTAGCATTAAAAATACAAATAAACCCCATCTCTACAAAAAACTGTTAAAACACTAGCTGGGTATTGTGACATGCACCTACAGTCCTAGCTACTCGGGATGCTGAGAATGACGGTGCCACTGCACTTCAGCCTGGGTGACAGACTGAGATGCTGTCCCCAAAAAAACAAACACAAATAGTACAATATGATAAAATAAATATATTAATTCAAGAAAGCATGAGTAGAATAGGAAAGTCAAGCTTGTAATAAAGGTAATACATCACAACTGTTACAAGTGGGTAGTAAATTCAGTTATGAGCTTTCTAGTTGACTAATGAAGTCAGATAACAAATACACCAAGAAGTCTCTCAGAAAATTACAAGAATTTTTAAAAGAGAAAAAACTCCATTTCCACTTTGGCCTGAAAGGCCAGCATGCCATTTGGGAAAAGAGTAAAGAAAAGGTAAATACCTCAATATTTAATTAAAAACAGCCTTGATGGAAACAACTCCAAAATCCAAGAATGTATTCAACAAGCATTCTTGATAATTGTAGTAAGATTCTTCATATTTAAAAAAGTTCTTGTAACTATTATACCTCAACCTTAATTTTTATTAATATTAAAATATTGTTATATAATTAAAAAGATAAAATATATTTTGAAAAAAAGCATAATTTCCTTAGCATTAGGACAGATTTCAGAGAGGTTTCTCCTATGAATCACAGTAATATGGTTCTAAGCTTTGTTGCATGTAATCTTTTGTTTCAATAACAAAACTTAAGAAGATGACACTGCTTCCTGAATATAAAAGAAAATCCAGTGTATTTACTTCAATTACACTTTTATTTTTAATATCTTGAAAATGCTCATCTTGGAGTGGGCACAGGCAAACCAGATATGGGTAGTGGTAACCACTAGGAGGAGGGAAAACTCAAAATAATAATAAAACAAACAAATGGGAGACAACCCAAGCTTCACATTGACAGCTAGATACCAACAAGGACATGCTCCCAGACTGCCCAAACAAAGGTACCCGGGGCCAATAAATTCATTATCTAAAGCAGAAAAAAAAAATTCACTAGAATATGTTTCTGTTACTTTAGTTGAATGTTTTAGACAAAATATTCTCATGTTATGCTTTTTATACAAACTATAAGATTGTTCCAATTCAGTAAGCACCAATAATTACAATCATTTAAAACAACAGCAGGGAGCAAGATGGCCGAATAGAACAGCTCCAGTCTCCAGCTCCCAGTGCGAGTGACACAGAAGACAGGTGATTTCTGCATTATCAACTGAGGTACTGGGTTCATCTCACTGGGGAGTGCCAGACAATCGGTGCTGGTCAGCTGTTGCAGCCCGTCCAGCGAGAGCTGAAGCAGGGCGAGGCATCATCGCCTCACCTGGGAAGCGCAAGTGGGAAAGGATCCCTTTTCCTCAAGCCAGCGGGAAAACTGCGACCAACACAACACCTGGAAAATCGGGTTAACTCCCACCCCAATACTGCGGCTTAAGAAACGGCCACACCAGGGAGATTATTATCCCACACCCTGGCCGGATGGAGGTCCCACGCGCCACGGAGCCCTTCTCATTGCTAGGCACAGCGTCTGCGATCTAACAGGCAATGCAGCAGCGAGGCTGGAGGGAGGGCGCCGCGCCATTGCTGAGGCTTAAGTTTTTGGTAACATAAGGCCCTGGAAGAATCGAACTTTGGGTGGAGCTCGACTTAGCAGCTCAAGTGAGGATCCTGCCAGTCTCTGTAGCTTCTCCCATACCTCTGTGGGGGACAGTGGCCTTCAGCTAAACAACAGTAACAACAACAAATAAGGCAGCAGAACCTCTGTAGCGGCAGGCGGACTCTGTTGACAGTTGTGTAAAATGAGAGCAGTGGATCTCCCAACAACGGAGCTGAGGGTGCTGAGAAGGACAGACTGCCTTGTTCAAGTGGGTCCTGACCCCTGAGGTAGCTCTTGATACTTGTGTAGATCCATCTCTCATCCAGGGGCAATACTATACCCCACCACGCTCACTACGGTGGGAATACACCTGATTGTAGGAAGCTTCCAATAAGCTTGATGTTATATCAGACAGTTGTGTATCTCACTCGTCTTGTCGAGCAGTGAGTCTTTAGCTCTGCACGCCTCTGCTGTCTGTATCCACCCTAGGCATATACAGGTTTTGGGTGTTCTGAGAAGGATCCTCAAGCAATCTTCGAACATGATCTAAAGCGTGAGGGTCGCTGACTGTTAGAAGGAAACACTACAAACAGGAAGGACACCCCACACCAAAACCCATCAGTAGCGTCACCATCATTCAAAGACCTGAGGCACGATAAAACTACAAAGATGGGGGAAAAAGCAGGCGGAGAAAGGCTGGAATTCAAAAATCGAGAGCGCATCTCCCTCCAAAGGAACGCGCTCATCGCCAGCAACGTGATTCAAGCTGGTGGAGAGAATGACTTTGGGACGGCAGGATGATCGAGATATGAGAATGGCCTTCTAGTCATCAAACTTCTCAGAGCTAATAAAGGGAGATATGTCGTAACTCACTATCGAAATAGAAACTAAATATCTCTGAATAAATGAAGCAATGGATAGACTTAAGATAACCAGAAATGAATGCAACAGAAGGTCAGCTAAGACGGATCTTTTGATTATCGGAGAGATGTATGATTTAAATTCCATGACACGAGGAATATGTACAGTTTGACATATTGGCATTCTAAGTTTCAAGTAATGCTGATTCTTTCGGTCAACTGGTATGTATATATGAGTCATCAGCTGATTGAGGATCAATTATATATAGTAGGGAATGATAGGATAAAGTGGATATTTCTAATATGAAATAAAGGAAGAATTATAATGACATATGAACAAATGCTTCTGCGACGGATGTGTTATTGGGTGTATTTGTGATAAGGACCAAATTCTGTCATTCGTGATATGGATGATGTGGGGCCTGTAGAGTTGTTGTGAGTGGGAAGATTGATTTGTGAACCCATAGTGTTGGAAAACACTCTTCAGAGGTCATTCCAGTGGAGAACTGTTCCTCCTTTTCCTAGTTTAGGTGCAGGCCTGAACTTATTCTAATATGCAGGTACTAATGTCTATAGCTGTAACGCCACAAAGATATCTCGCTCTCGAGTAAACAGTTCAATCAATGACATGTCACAAGGTGCCGATTCTACCTAAAGGTTGATTAATGAATGTAAAATATCTTAAGGGCTAACTATTGATGTAGAAAGGGTTCGGGTTACCACAAGGGCAGCCCATCAGGTAAGCTAGTCATGATCCTCTCGGTTCATTGATAACTACTACTTAAGCTTCCAGAAGAGATTGTGGTTGTTGTGGGATGCCATAATTATTGTCTATCCATGTTCTTTATAAATGGAATGTTCACCCAGATTTCATTATCCAGTCCTATACTAAGTTTCATAATATTGGGAAGTGAGAGTAAAAAGCTCTTTTACAGATTAGGTCAATTTAGGCTGAGATTCACCTTAGCGTCTGCCTTTACCTATCAGGGACCTTCTGAGTGTAGGCTATTACACATGGATAGGTATCATTGGTACTCAATTACCATTGCAATATACATTGCCTAATGTGTTATATCGTAATCATCGAGTGTTGAGGTGATAG